TTACCTCCGCGCCTGCTGCTGCTGCGAGATCTGTTCGAGGGTCTGGCCGCGTGTCTCCGTCAGCGTGAGGGCACTGACGATCGCCATCAAGAAGTTGCAGACGCCGTACACCCAGAAGGCCCCGTGCTTGCCCACGGCGTCCGTTACGTAGGGGTACGTTTGCACGGCAGCGAACACGCCCACGAAGAGGATCGTGTAGAGGATGGACACGGCCGTGGCGCGGACGGTCGTCGGGAGGAACTCGCCGAGGACGAGTTCGACGACGGGGAAGCCCAAGGACGAGAAGAAAATGTAGATGGAGAGGCAGGCGAGGGGGACCCACATCTCGCTGAACTCGATCTTGAAGGCCTGGTCGTAGAAGAAGCCTCCGAGCATGAAGAGGCAGGCCCCACACACGGAGCACGAGGTGATGAGCAGGGGCTTCCGGCCGATCATGTCGATGAACAGGATATTGACGGAAACCCCGACGATGCGATAATAATAATAATAATAATAATAATAATAATAATAATAATAATAATAATAATAATAATAATAATAATAATAATAATAATAATAATAATAATAATAATAATAATAATAATAATAATAATAATAATAATAATAATAATAATAATAATAATAATAATAATAATAATAATAATAATAATAATAATAATAATAATAATAATAATAATAATAATAATAATAATAATAATAATAATAATAATAATAATAATAATAATAATAATAATAATAATAATAATAATAATAATAATAATAATAATAATAATAATAATAATAATAATAATAATAATAATAATAATAATAATAATAATAATAATAATAATAATAATAATAATAATAATAATAATAATAATAATAATAATAATAATAATAATAATAATAATAATAATAATAATAATAATAATAATAATAATAATAATAATAATAATAATAATAATAATAATAATAATAATAATAATAATAATAATAATAATAATAATAATAATAATAATAATAATAATAATAATAATAATAATAATAATAATAATAATAATAATAATAATAATAATAATAATAATAATAATAATAATAATAATAATAATAATAATAATAATAATAATAATAATAATAATAATAATAATAATAATAATAATAATAATAATAATAATAATAATAATAATAATAATAATAATAATAATAATAATAATAATAATAATAATAATAATAATAATAATAATAATAATAATAATAATAATAATAATAATAATAATAATAATAATAATAATAATAATAATAATAATAATAATAATAATAATAATAATAATAATAATAATAATAATAATAATAATAATAATAATAATAATAATAATAATAATAATAATAATAATAATAATAATAATAATAATAATAATAATAATAATAATAATAATAATAATAATAATAATAATAATAATAATAATAATAATAATAATAATAATAATAATAATAATAATAATAATAATAATAATAATAATAATAATAATAATAATAATAATAATAATAATAATAATAATAATAATAATAATAATAATAATAATAATAATAATAATAATAATAATAATAATAATAATAATAATAATAATAATAATAATAATAATAATAATAATAATAATAATAATAATAATAATAATAATAATAATAATAATAATAATAATAATAATAATAATAATAATAATAATAATAATAATAATAATAATAATAATAATAATAATAATAATAATAATAATAATAATAATAATAATAATAATAATAATAATAATAATAATAATAATAATAATAATAATAATAATAATAATAATAATAATAATAATAATAATAATAATAATAATAATAATAATAATAATAATAATAATAATAATAATAATAATAATAATAATAATAATAATAATAATAATAATAAACAAAAGTAATGGTACCATTAGCAAACATATAAGACCGTAGACCAAATGATCCAGACCGATGACGACGGCGCTGTAGTAGGAGCTGAGGTTGACGTGCGCCGCGTCGAAGATGGTGACGAGGTAGGCGCTGACCACGAAGCTGCCGGAGAAGGCCATGGTAAGGTGCAAGAAGGCGATGATCATGGAACTGCGCAGGATGGCCGGCTGCCGCATGCGCCGCAGCTGGTCCCTCGTGCTCTTGCAGCTTCCTAGGCTCTGGTCCAGCTGCGCCAGGATGCTGTTCAGCTCCTGGATGGAGTCGTAGTCAGGGCCTCTGAAGAACACGAGAGAGCGGCGGGCTTCCTCGAGGCGGTCCCGCGTCGCCAGCCACCGCGGGGAGTCGGGCAGGAAGAGCAGGCCGACGAAGGGCGGGACGGTGGTGACGCAGCCGCACACGAGCGCCACCTCCCGCCACGTCAGAGCCGAGCTGCCCACGGCGTAGATGAACAGGTAGCCGACGTACCGCGAGATGTTCAGCATGGCCACCAGTCTGCCCCGGAGACTGCTGTCCGCAAGCTCCACGATGTAGTTCACGG